GCGCGCGTGCGACCCGGGGCGGGGGGCGGGGGGGCGGCTGTAAAAATTCAGACGAGTGGCTCGTATGTAAATGTTGCCCGGGGGAGAGTGGGGAGGCGGTAATGAGAGCTGCAGGCGCGCAGCCCCGCCGGCGGCCCCCCCGCTTTCCCGCCAAGTGCAGTCGGAGGACAGGACAGACAGCCATGCGTGTCCTTGGCGGGTGGGCCCCAACCTACTGCGCGCGCCCGCCCCCCGCGCACACGCATACACTCCTCTCGGAGGCGTGGGGCCTGGTAGCCACGGGCATGCCAGGAAAACAAAGCTAGGGCTGCGCGGTGGAACGAAGAAACGGCAGCCCTGGCAGCGGAGGGCAGGGCTGGGAAGCCGAGACCGCGGTCTCTGCCCTCCCTCTGCTCCCGGCTTCCCCCAACCCTAGCCCAGAGAAGGCCGAAGACCATTTTTTAGCGGCCTTAGAGACGGTGGCGAGGAGAGGCGGGGGCAGATGGGCATAGGGAGGTGCCAGCTGTCTCTCCGCCCGGGGCGCGGACACGCACACGCAGATGCTGGAGCGCGGGGCTGCCGGGGGTGGGTAGGGGAGGCGGTAAATCTGAAGGCCTCCCTGCTCCAAGAGCGGCCACCTCCTCTCTGAAGCTGCTTAGCTCCAAGTAAAAAACACACCAGGCCAAATCCCTCAAGGCAGCGCCCCGGGCTTCGGCCACGGAACAGCTCGCATCTCGAGCCTCCTCCCCGACAATGCAATCGGAAGGGCCTGGCTGTTCCGGGGGAGCCTTCTGTGACCTCCCCCCTTTAAAGGGGTAAAACTAGAACCCCAGCCCAAGAGGTCTGGCCTAGATGGCCAGCAGATAAGCCCCAGATAAGGAGAGACACCGATCTCTCTAATCTCACTCACAGCGCCTGCCTCGATGCTCACCAGCCCAAGCATCTTCCCAACACACACACACACACACACGCACACACGCACATACACACACGACACTCCCATCGCCTTAAAACGCGCGCTAATGGCCGGGCTGTTAATGAAGCCGACGCGCATAATGAGCGCACAGGTCAATAGGTACAGAAACAAGAAGCCTCTACCAGTCCAGCTGGGCGATTTACCGCTCCGTATTGGGAACACGTGTAGCTTATCGTGTTTTAGGAGTGATTTGCTGTTGTCTGAGATCTCCCCCTTCTCTTCTTGTGGAGAGAAGCCATACCCCCCCTCCCCCCAAAAAAAATCATGCTCCATTTTCGGTCCTCTTTCTGATAAACTACCCATGCCATTGTCTACAACAGTTGGGGATTTGGTTTGGTTTGTTATCTGTTGCTGTTGGTTTTGGTTTGTTGGGCTAATATTTTGCGTGTTTTTTTTTTTCCGGGGGAAGCAAAAGGACCTGTATTTGGTGGGACTGGAGGCGCAGGATAAGAGCCAGTATGTACGGCCGGAAGGCTGGCGAGACTAGGAGCCCGGCGTTGGAGAAAGAAGACGGCGGCTCCGTCTCCCCGGGGGCCGGCGCAAGCCCCCTCTGTCTCCTCGGGCCTGGGCTCAGCCTCCGCAGCCGCTGCTTGCGCTCGAGGGCTCCGCCGGCTGCCGCTCCGTGTTTTCTCCCATCCCGGCTTCACGTTCAAGGTTTAGCTGCGAGGTCACGTCCATTGACGTCAGCGCCCTGTCTCCCTCTACGTCCGGCTACATTTACATACATCAAGGAAATTAGGGCATTAAAAAAATATGCAAATCCTGCGCGAAGAGGAGCCGTTGCATTCCGGGCGCGATCGCCTTTTATTGAAGCTTTTAATTAAAGGAGCCAGTTGGCGAGCCCCTGAAACAACCGCCAAAACCCCCCAAAAGAGAAAAATAAACGCTGTAGCCTTCGGGAACGGTTGTTTCGGCTCCTGTTCTGTGGGCGGCTGAGGACTGCCGGCTGCCCGGCTCGGAGAAGAACAGGTTAGAGGAGGCAGCTCCAGCCCATGCATAATCAGGGCTCCGCGGCGCCTCCATTCTTTTCTCCTCCTCCTCTCCTCCTCCTCCTCCTCCTTTCCTCCTCCTCCTCCTGCTCCCGCTCCTGTTGGTTCCAGCGTGTATTATTTTTAATACTGATGCATATGTAAAGATATATTTGCATTTTTTAATTCGCGAAAAGTTCAGGTTATATCGTTTTATTGACCCTCCCCTTTTTTTGTGCTATTTTACTACGTGTATCTGTCTCTCTTGTCCTTTTATGTCTGTCTTTATTTTTTGACGAGTGTCTGCTGCTGTCTTTTGCTAGGTAATATGCAGTTGCCTCCCTGCTTCTGTTTATTTAAGATTCCAAATATGCACATCTGTCATGTATGCAATGCCAGTTGTATAACCTCCTGGTTTCGTTATAAAAGAAAAGACACATTTTTTTTCTTTCCTGACATACTCCTCGATGGGCTGTAATGTCCATTGCTCAAGGCTGAAAGTTTGATTGTCTAATTAACTTCATCTCAGCGAAAACACAGTTTGGTTCCAGTGTATTTGAAATAATGTATGTATAAGGGGAAGGGATTCCAAAGATTTCTAAAGAATTTTTAGGTTCTGAATAACTGAAAGGTGCGGCATGCACAGCCCTATTGCTTCCTAGCATTTCTTATTGCAAAAAAAAAAACTATCTTAAAATGTGTAGACACAGCAATGGACAGCCTTCTGCTAGGAAGACATTTTCAACCATGTTGTATGTTGTACATTATCTGCTACATTTAAATCTTACTGAATTTCATTTTATCTTAATATGACTAGAAACCAGGTACATTATCTGGATTGAAAAGAGTCCTTAATTCCTGACTTTGAAACGAAAACAAATAAACAAACAAAACAGTACAATATATTAAGCCAGTTGATTTGTCCTAAAATATACAGGCCTTGAGTTAGATTTCAAGCAACGGTAATCTTGTTTATAGGATTGGATTTTCCTTGCTGGCAATATATGTATTGAGCACAATGGCTTTTGAAAAATATATATATAAAGTCCACTTAAAAAATTCTCCCAAAGCTATCATTTAAAAAAGACTGAATCCATAATTGCATATCCAGAAAGAACAGCAAATATGCACACATGCAGCTTATTCAATTAAACAAGTCAGAGTACATGCACAGGTAATTAGTTTTTTTATGAATGACTTACCTGCACAGATACTCAGGGCAAGACTCAGCCCACCCCAAAGGCTTTCATGTATAAATATTCACATGTATTTACCCCCATTTCAAACGTACAGCTGTGTGCCATCTTTCATGCTGAACTATCCAGCATCCATTTTTAGCACCTTAATTCTTACCGGCATTTCCAGTCTCACCTCTGGCTGTAGTTTTTCCAAGCCTACACCAAAGTGCTCATATGATATGTCACCCAATAAAAAGTGGTCAGATGGCTACACGTAAAACATTAAAAACAGAAATACACACTCATTCTTTAGGTTCGTCCTTACCTTGCCATATATAGCAAGATTACGTTTTCTAAAGTACATTTTCAGCACATTTTATGAATAATTGCAGAATTCCCCAACTGGTTGCAGAATTGTCCGTTTCTGGGGGGCACCTGGCTGAGTGAAACAATTCGGCAGGCTAAGTGTCGAGTTGGGCTGCAATTTGGCTGCAATTAAATCGTGCGTGGCGGTTTGTTTCTTCCTGGACTCTTGCACGTACCTGCCCGCCTTTATGCAGGGATCAGAACAAACACACCGGCCACGTTGCAGGGCACAGAGAGTCGGTGCATATATTTAGATGGCAGTAGCTGGGAGTGTGTGCATGTGTGGGTGTCTGTGCATGCATGTCAGTACAGACGCATGTGTGTGTGCTGGCGCTGTGTGACAAGGGACACAGAGAGGTACACCTCTTACCTCTTATCTCCCTGTAATCTTTTCTGTTTCTAATCTCCCTTATTGGCGCATGGTAGTAACCCGAAGCGTCGGAACCGTCACCGTCGCTGCCGTGTGCGCGCTGTGGCTTACCCCGGGGGCCCGTGGCTGTGTGGCTCGCAGGCTCGGTGGGTGTCGTGGCAGAGGGTGGGGAGCGCCGCTGCCGCCGCCGCCGCCGCCGCCGCCGCCGCCGATCCGGGTGCTCTGTCCTAGCCCAGCAGCGAAGCGCGCGGTGCGGGAGCCCCCTCCCACC